AAAAAAAAAAAAAAGTTAAAGTCACTAGTTAGTAAGTGTCAGACCCAGGGTTCAGAACCAGGCAGCCTGGCCCTAAGTCTGATTCTTCACAGATTTAGATGAGGGGGTGGCGCCTGAGGCGGTAAGTAACTTGACTAACGCACATAGCACACAGTGGAGCAGGATGTGAATGCAGATCTAGGAGACTGAGGAGCCTGTGCTCTTTGTGTTTTACCATAACAGAGGTAATTCTATTGCAAGAGATTTGTAGTAGGGTCCAAGAACCTGTGTCTAAAAGCATCACTGCCCCTTCCCCCAGCCCAGTGCCAGTAGGGCAGGGAACACTGCTGTGCTGGCCAACAGCACAGGCTTTGCAATCAAATGGCTAGGATTTGAATTCTTATTCTGCTGCTTACCAGCTCTGTAACTTTGGACAAATTACCTCTCTAAGCCTCAGTTTTCTCTATAAAAAGGGTATAATAAGGTGTTTGGCAGTGGTTACTAGAGATAAAGTACCAGATAGCAGTGCCTATTTGCTCAATGTAAAGTAGTAAATGGTAGTTCTCAATGCCTCCTAGGCCCACACATGGGAGATAGATAGGTACAAAGCTTACAAGGATGACGTTAGGACAGAAGGAGTGGAATTTAAGTTCCTATCTTATAAATAGTATTTAAAATCAGGGAACATTTTTATTAAAATTATTCTCTCTTCTTAAGACTGGCTGCATGGTTTTTAGGAGATCCAGGAATAAATAAAATGTCCACACATATTGTCTCACTGCTTTTCTGCAGTAGGCCTGGCCCCGAGTTAAGAGGGAATAGAAACTGCCCTCCAAGCAAAAAATCCCTCAAGTACTATGAACAATAGGAAGTAGGGACCTTCCCACATTCACTACATGGCTTCTTGGGAAGCCTGCAAGAGCAAGAGAATAGCAGGACTGGTCCTCAGTAATCACAACGCCCCAGGGATGAGCTGAGAAAGCAGAGTGGTGATGTTCTTCGAAAGTCTAAAAGTTCCAGTGTCAGGTACCAAAGGCAGTATGTCATAATGCCTTTGTCCAGATTAACTGATCTAGATTTTTTATAGTCCTTAACCTTAGAATCCCAAAGAAGAGCATAGACAACCCTTGAGACCAAATTCAATTTCTCCCCATGGCTTGAATCAAGTTTCATTACAGACATTTATTTTAGTTTTAATTGCAAATATTCATTGACCTCTTGTATCAGATTTAAGGCAGAGAAAAGACAACATGTCCCAGGACTACATGTCAGGCTGTTAACTGCCCTGGGACTTAAAGACAGTGTCATCTCCCTTTGGTTCTACCAAGGAGACCTCAGCTCAAATGTTGCTGGGGCACAGTTGAGCACTGGGAGACAGAGGAGGGCTCCCAGGTCAGTCTGAGAGTTAATGAAGAGAAAAAAAGCTTGGAAGAGGGCAGGAATCTTGAAGGTGACTGGCTGAAGGGAAACCTACCAGCCCTTTCTCCAACTGGCTTCTGAAGACAGACAGGGTCATGTTCTTCTTCACCAGGTAGGACAGGGGGCTCAGAAGGTGACTAACTCAGATGCCTGAACTACTGTCCCCAGAATGCTCACCTTGACCTCACCCTGTGGCTCACCTAGATAGACCCAGGGTTAGCTGTGCAAAATCATGCTTTGGGAAGGGTTGTAGAGAAATCTTTGCACCACTTTCCTGGGTCTTCATCCCAGCCAGTCAGTGTCATCGTCATCATCATCATCTCCAAAAAGGGGTGTTGGGGGCGGGCGTCCCTTCATGCTCTGACAAAACAGGAAAGAATAATCAGTCCTTACTTGTCCCTGTACCAGCTGGACTTCCCACCTATGAGGTGAAGTGATCCAACTTCCGTTCCTGGCTCTGGGTTGCAAAAAGAGTTGTATTGGAAGGACCAACTTGTGGGCCAGCAAACCTAGGCTTCCAGATACTGCTGAGACAAGCGTGCCAAGAAGGGAGACAAAAGACCAACTTTGTTTGGCTAATTTTGTCATTTATTCGTGAAGCACATAAATTGATTTGACAGGTTTTCCTCTCATATGGTAACTTACATATTTCATGTGGAGAAAGAAAGGTAGAAGAGGAGAGATGGCTAGTAGAAGAAAGAAAGAGAAAAGCAGAACAGGCCTGAGATAAGGACACGATGCAGGAAGATGAAAGGATGCTGGGAAGAACACAGTCACATTGGAAAAAACACTGTTGTTGTGGCCTTCAGTGGCCTGACTGGCTCTGGATGTGATCCCATCATTTGAGACAAAGTTGAATTTAAAGGCTTGGCCACACTCCCAAGAGGCGAGAACACAGGGCCACAGAGTCCTATGAGCTACTCTCATTAGCCCTATCCCTGCTCCCTCTAACCAGGCAGGGGACAGAGAGGAAACCCACCCTTTTCATGACTTAAGTTCCAGGCTTTTCTCCTCTGGATTGGCAGGAAACAGGTCCCAAGGGAGGTAGGAGTGCATAGCAGGGGCCAAAGATAGGCATAAACTGAAGGCATAAACTAAGGTAATTTCTGCTCTGGTGAGCTACTGCTGACCAGGAGCCATCTTCACAAAGCTAGGCCAAAGGGAAGGCAGCATGGTGTATACAGAAGTCTCTGGGCTAATCCTATCACTACTACCAACTAACAGACCTCAAACTTCTTTCTGGGCATCAAGGAAGTGATCTCTAAACTCTGACAGTATAGGATTTTCGTTTTTTTAGAGATAAGATCTCATTCCCAGGGTAGAGTGCAGTGGTGCAAACATAGCTTACTACAGCTTCAAACTTCTGGGCTTAACTGATCCTCCTGCCTAGAATTCCCAAAGTCCTGGGATTCCAGGCATGAGCCACCCTGCCTGGTCTAAAATTTTCAAGCATAGCTCCCAGCTTCTGTTTTGTCCTGGTTAAAGTTCTAGCTCTACATCTACCAGCTATATAACTTTAGTTATATTATTTAATCTTCCTGAACCTCAGTCCTCTGATCTATAAAATGGGAAAAAGTACCTAGCTCACTGGATTAGATTATTTAATGAGCCTGTTTGTGAAATAGTTTTCAAAGCATCTAAGAAACAGATGTTAACTTGATGGCATTAGTATTGATACCAATAATATACTCGCTGATTAAAAAATTTCAACTGTATTTAGGGTAGTCACGTAGGATACGCAATTTCCCCCCCTTTTTTCTTTTTTAGTGCATAATTTGTATTCAGGATTCTCAAATGAAAACATAATTCTTGAGGAGAAAGGCTAATAGAAGATAACTGGTACAGTTCTTCCAAAGAAACACAGGCAAGAGGGAAGGGCTCTGGTATGTACCAGGATCTCAATCTATCAAGCGGTCTTCCCCAGGTTTTGGCAAAAGGTAAAACCCACTCTGACTGATACATGAGGGGACAGGATTTGCCCTGATTCACTATTATATTTCTGTCCCTGGGACAGACTGAGCCTAAAGCTCACCTGTATTCTCCACACATATTTCATACCAGTGATCTTCCCATGACAGTGAAATTGAAATTGGCTTAGCGACAGCCAGAAATGCTGTAACCTAGCACAATGGGGAACAGCAGATGTAAGAACTGGGGCTCTAATCCAGGCTCTATCAGCACTTTCCTTCCTAGCCTTCACTCTCATTCTCCATAAAGCAATATGCTATGAGTTCTGAATCCATTTTCTGCCCAGAGATATTGTGATGACAAAATAAGGCAACATGTTAAAAAGCAGGCTGAGTAAGCAGAAAGCTCAGGAACAGATGGTCTGAATAGGCGCCTAGGGTTTTAGTCCTACCCCTGCCATTAATTCACTCTGTGGCTTTACGTAAATTATCCTTCTGAGTCAGTGTCTTTGTCTATGAATAAGGATGTCAGACAAATAAAAATGGTATCCCAGCAGATTTTGGGAAACTTGAGGCTTTGGCATTCCTGTGCAGGACTATGCAGACTATTATTCTTTTTCAGGAGAAAAGTGGTATCTGATCATCCCGTCTGTGCTTACAGAGCTGCCTACTCCCAGCCCCAAGCCTGCTCCCACAGGACCCTGCACACAGAGTCCAGGCAATGGGCCACCAGCAGACCCCGTTTCTCTTCTCAGAGCCAGCGGGGAGGGCCCCCCAGGTGATGGTATGAGTACATGGCAGTGCCTGGGATCTCCTTACCACCTCATCTTCATCTTCCTCCTCAGGCTGTGCTTTAGGCCTTGGAACTTTCAGAGTCGCCCCTTTAAACAGCTCATCTTCTTCATCCTCTTCTTCATCCTCAAAGAGACTGAAGGAAAATCAAGCCATAAAAAAGTTTTTCCCATTCCAAGCCACAGCACCCAGCAGCTACACAGGTCCCTGGCAGTTGGGTAAGAAGCCAAGAGCTAGGATCACTCTGGAATTCCTCCCACCCCCACTGTCACTGTTTCTGTAACATCCATTAGCCTTGCTGTTGGCCCCTCCATAACCAACAGCCAGAGCACTCTTATAAAACTAAGAAATCAGACCACATCACTCCTCTTCTTACACTCCTTTAATAGATTCTCACTGTACTTAAATAATAACCAAACTTTTAACAGCAACATGAAATCTCACGTATTCTGGCTCTTGTTTACTCTTCCAGCCTCTGCTTAACACAGCTCTGTTCTTATTTATTGTGCCTTCTTTTAGTGCCTTGATTGTGTCACATCCCTCCCCCTGCAGGGCCTTGACACGTGTGGTCCTCTCTTTCTGCACTCTCTTATTCTTACTCCTTCTCATTTTGGGGTCTCAGTTTAACTGTTACCTTCTCAGAATCCTTCCCTAACTACCCTGTCAAAAGTAAAACAGCTCCCTCTTTATTCTTTATTATAGCACCCTGCTTGTTTTTTTAAGCATTTATCATATTTTTATACTATATAAGTATGTATTCACCTTCCTCACTGGACTATATACTCCATAAACTTAAGGACCAATTGTGACTTGCCTACCATACTTGCCTACCACAGAACCCTGCACATGGTACTATTGAATAAATATTAATGCATGAATGAGTGGATGAATGGTTAAGTAAATCAGTCAGTCTCTGAGGGATGAACTGTGGCCTAGAAAAAAGAGACAACTACCACATATAGTGCCCGTCCCTGGAACCGTGCTCAGAGGAATGAGCTCTGGCCCTAGAAAAAACTGAGACAACTACCACATGTCATGCCTGTCCCTGAAATCGTGCTCAAAGGAATGTACCTGGAGTTCTGAGAATGATGGCTGGAGCTCAGGGCTGCTCTTGCGGCTGTAGATCCTGCCTCTGTGCTTGACAGCTGCTTGGAGGGACCAGTGGAGCTAGTGACATCCTTGTCTTTATCAAGCTCAGGGGGCTGAAGCTCTTTTCCTGGGCTTTCAGGCAGTCCCACAGCCAGTGGGTCCCCCTTCTTGGGTTCTGAAGTCACAGACAGTCCTGTCGAGCCTTCTTCTAGGGGGCCATCTGGGGCCACTTCCCCAGTGCAGACCTTTCCCAATGAGCTGCCAGGCTTAGCTGCCAGTGGGCTGGCGACAAGTGTCTCTTCACACTCAGAGTCCATAGTTATAGGGCCTGGAAGCTCAGGTGGAATTGAAGTTGGGGGCTCCAGGACTCTGTGCAATGGGGCACAAGCCAGGTCAGGTGGGAGGGAGCCATCTTGCATCTCTGAGAGCACCTCTGCTTCTGAGGGCTCCCATTTCCTTCTCTGTACCTCATCCTGGGGAGTGGGGACAGCCTGAGAAGATAGGAGGACAGCTTCCTCGACTACCTGCTCTGACGACACCATGGGGGGCTCCTGCCTCTCCCTATGCAGGGGTGCTTGAGGCAGTCCAGGATTGCCAGCCACTGACTGCTCCTTGGAAGGGCTCTGAGGTTGCTCTTCTTCATCTTCACTGCTGCTCTCCCCTCTCTCTCGCTCTTGTTGGTTTAACAGCTGAATAGTCACTATCTGTTCAAAAGCCAAGGAAGAGATAGTAACTGAAACAAACACAGCAGCTGCTCCTAGTTCTGCAGTCCTTACTAACACTGGTAAAATGACCCTGCATCTTCCTGGCATAAAAGGCTGTCAAGCCACTCCAAGTGCCCTAATTACTGAGGAACAGTCTTGAATAATTCTTTATTCATGACCCTTAGAAGGTACTTAAGCAACAAAGTACCCATTCTAATGAAATAATGCACAGCTGGCTGGTCATACCTTGATTGTACTCATGATGGTCCCCAGAATGGTCCTCCCATCATAAGATTCCTCCAGGTCAAACTCTCTCCGCAAAGACTGGAACACCTGGTTCATGATCTTCTTGACCTGTGTTAACATCAAAATATATGTTGCCAAAATCTAGTCATTACGGGATGCATTTAAATTCCAGACAGGGGTCTGTAAAGCTAAATATAAGCCTATAATGGGGCACAACTGGTCTTAAATGGAGACACTGAAGGTGGTCACTGCGGAGAGAACAGTATTCAATAATAAGCAGGACTTTGACAGAAGAGCTAGTCATCAGAGTTTCCTATCAAGGGCAGGCAAGCCGTGGCATGTGAGCCCAGGACTGCTTGAAGACCATTTATTGATACCTCTCACCATGAACACTACTGAGAACTGCCGCAGACTACAGGGATTGGTGGCTTGTAGAGCTGGGCACACTCCCCATCCCCTATTCCTCTCCTGATTTAGAAGTACTTCCCCTATCTGTCAAAATCTCAAAAAGATAGGGCCCTTTGGGGTTTGCCACCAGAATGGTAGGCTCCAAAGGATTAATTTTTAAGTTAGACAAGTGGTGCATAACTAAAGTTAGAAAATTGCTACTAACACAATATATTGGCCACGTTCCTTCTAAATGTTCGCTATGCCATTCAATCCTTGACATGACAGGGGTTGCTGCTGCTTTGAAACACCAGCTCACCTTATCTGAGGGGTCAGTAGCAGCGGCTTCAACATCAGACGTCTGGGACTTGTTCTTCTCCAGTTCCTTAATGTGCTGTTTGTTTTGCTCTGTGAGGGCTGTGACTTGGGCCTGGAGGGCCAAACACTGCAAACAACAGACCGTGGCTATGGTTTCAGAAACCTAGACTACCAGGTGACGGTCAGGAAACCCACGGCAAGGAGAACCATCCTAAGCGTCACGTCTTAACCTCCCCTAGCCTGCTTGTGACCAGTCCTCCTGCCCCAACTCAGAGCACTCTATTTCCTCATTACTCAATTTCACCTCACAACTTCATTTCCCCTTTCCCAAAAAGGTCACCTGCCTTTTTCCTAATCAGATCAAAAATGTAATGACAAAAAGAATATGGGAGTAGTAACTTTAGTCATATAAACAGAAATACTTAGCATTAGTGGCAACCTATTTAATTACAAGATTGAGACTCTCCAGATATGAGACTTTCACACCATGACCCTCAGCCACATCTCAGCTCTCTCCTTTTTATGCCTGATGATCCCACCATACTGCACTCTCCATCCCATCTCAGTGCCTCTGCCCAGGATGTTGTGCTTCCTTCTCTGCCTTGTCCTTTGTGGCTCTGCTCAAATGTCACCTCCTTTGGGAAGCCTTCCCAGCTCCCCTAGCACTTCCTCTTCTGGGCCGTGGAGCACTTAATGTGTATGTTTATTTCTCTGTTTCCCATTCTTGACCATGAGATCCTTGAAGGCAGACTTCTTTGTATTCCCTTTATCTAACACAGTGGCTGGAATACAACTGACATCCAACAAATATTTGCTTAATAAACATAGGATTAAATAATAATGGAAAACATGTTCCAGAATATTACTGCTGTTTTTTCTTTTTCTAGGTCACTCATCTGTCATCCCAAATAATTACGTGAAAGGTAACTAATAAACAAGTGAGGTTTTGTATTCTAGCTATTAACAGCTTTTAGGGTCAAAAGGATTGGCAGGACACAAACAGTCTGCTTGCCTCAAATTAACTGAGCTGCCTAAGTGGTCTGGGCCAAGGGAAACATTTACCTTTTCCTGAAGTGCTACCAGCTGCTGCTGGTTGGCATCTCTCTGTGCACACACCTCCTGGTACTGCTGCAGGTGCTCATCCTTGGCAGAGGCCAACAAATGTTCACATTTTGCTTCCCACTGGGTCTGTAGCTCAGCCTGCACCAAAGACAGCTGCCAAGAATAGTAACAGTAGGATTATCCTGAGGGGATCCTGCTGCACATTGGGACACCTACCCTTCATATGGCAAAAGAGTATGCTAACAGCCCAGATTTAACCAGGAAACAGCTGTTCAAAAGACCCTCATTACTTTTAAAGTAAACGTTGTTTTTTGAGACAGTCTCACTTGTTGCCCTCAGTAGAGAGCCCTGGTGTTGCAGCTCAAAGCAACCTCAAATTCTTGGGCTCAAGAGATTCTCTTGTCTTAGCCTCCTGAGTAGTTGGGACTACAAGTGCCTGCCACAATACCCAGCTATTTTTAGAGATGGGGTCTCGCTCTTGCTCAGGCTAGTCTCGAACCTGTGAGCTCAGGCAAGTGTGATCCCAGCCATGGTGCCCAGCCTGTTTAAATGTAGTTTTTAAACGTAGATAGGAAGATGTCTTTGATGGCAGGACTCCAAAACATGCTCCAAACAGGCAAAAATGTGACTATCTAGACAGGACAGGGCCATAATAAGATCACTGCTTTTCATGGTCTGAACCCTAAACTCGATAGGTTCAGAAACTTTCTTTCCAAAATTCTCAGACATGATCAAATTGAGGGTGCTAATGCACTCTAATTAAACAGATCTACATATGTGAATTTTTTTTTTTTTGAGACCAGAGACTCACTATGTTGCCCTGGGTAGAGTGCTGTGGCGTCATAGATCACAGCAAACTCAAACTCTTGGGCTTAAGAGATTCTCTTACCTCAGCCTCCCAAGTAGCTGGTATTACAGGTGCCTGCCACAACACCTGGCTATTTTTCTGTTGCAGGTGTCATTGTTGTTTAGCTGGCCTAGGCTGGGTTTGAAACCCTCCAGCCTCAGTGTATGTGGCTGGCGCCAAGGCTACGCATATGAATTTTAAACTTCCAGTGAAAAAGGCTGCTGTCACATGGACTAGAGATCTAGTTGTCCCGTTGTAGTTGTGGCCTGCCACTATCCCTGGTTCCCCTTCATGATTGCTTTTTTGAAATAGAGTCTCATTCTGTTGCCCAGGCTAGAGTGCTATGGCATCAGCCTAGCTCACAGCAACCTCAAACAGCTGGATTCAAGAGATCCTTCTGCCACGCACTCCCGAATAGTTGGTACTACCTATCATAGCCTGCCACAATGCCCACCTAATTTCTTCTATTTTTAATAAAGGGGTCTCACTCTTGCTCTGGCTGGTCTCTAATTCTTCAACTCAAGGGATCCTCTTGTCTCTGCCTCCAAGAGTGCTAGGATTATAGGTGTGAGCCTCCGTACCCAGCCGTAAATGAATCCCTTCTTTTCAAAGGTCATAATGTACCTAAAGGATGGTGTCTGGTGGTTGAAGACTTTGAACTTAACCATGTTTAGAATTTTTTGTAAAAAGATTGCTTTTCATTTTTACTTATGTAATTAAATATTAACTAAGTTTAAAAAAAAGGAAAGACGATCTACTGCTTGGTTCATGACTGTCCTGCGTACATTTGAATTGCTTTTCCCATCTTTCTCCAAAGTGAGAGCATCAATGATGACAAATGTCATCCTAAATGACAGGGAAGAAACTATTACAGAAGCTTTTCTCTCCGAGTCTTTCACACTTCCCATTTATCTCCAGAGTACTACAATTTCCCATTACCTGCTCTGCAGCTGCTTGGTCTGTGGACACTCGAGTCTTTTTTAAGAGCTGTCGAAGTTTATCCAATTCCTCCTGGTAGGACTTACGAATTTCATCTATCTCCTGCTCAGCCTGACAACGCTCTTGAGCTGACTTCTTTTTCCTTTCTGAAAGGTTCTTAGGAATAAGAGAATCATCATCAGCTCCAACTCAGTTAACAGAGGATAAAAGGGAATGGTGGTGGTGGTGGTTACTGACTGAGTTGGGTCCTTACTCCATTTCTGGAAATGGTTCATTTTTTAGGTTAATTTTTCCGTATATATTTAACATTCTTGGCTGCTGGGTAAGGAAAATTATGACAAGGAGAAGAAACACAAGTAGGGTTTTATCTACCACTCTATTCATCAGAGCAGGGGAACATCCTAACTTTGGTGACGGTATAAGAAATCAGACGCTCTCACACCCTGCTGGGAACAAAACAAATGGATATATACTCTCTTTGGATGGCAATCCTGTGAAAAGCCTTTAAAAATAGGCATATCCAGAAATTCTACAAATATTAATTTGTTTTAAGGAGGCAATTAAGTCATAATCATAAAGACTATGTTACAAGGATGGTCACTGTGGTAGTATCTACGATATATGACAATAGAAAATTGAAAATAGCCAAAAGACCAAAGGAATTGGTTTTAAAAAAACTCCAAACTGATAAAAAGTCATTGAAGAAACTATAAACACAGATCAAGATTTACCCCCTGGAAAGGCACTGCGCCAAACTGGAGAGTTTTACTAAAGCATCAGGACTGGTTCTTTTTACATTAAACTGTTTAGAACACAATCGAAGAAAAGTTTCCATTTTGTTCAATGGGTCTAGTATTGCCCGGATCTTAAAATTTTAACCAACAAAAGATACTATAAAAAAAGGTAAAAAACAACCAAATAGAAAAATATTTGTAACAACTACAACTGAAAAAGAATTTATATCCTTAATAGCATTTACAAAGAGAATTCACAGAAGAGATACAAATAGAAATGAAATACATGAAAGCTTTACTGCAGATAAAAATACATACAAAAAAATATAGAATTATTTTACCTATCAGACTAAGAAAGATCAGAAAAAGTAATATATGTAAAGTTGGGAAGAATGTGGCAGAATGTGCTCACTCACATAGTGCTGAGAGTGTAAACTAGCATTCTTTGAGGATAATCTGGCATTATTTATAAAAAGCTTAGATATGTAGCATTTCCTTTGATCCCATGATTTAACTTAAGTAATCCACTGTATGAGAATACTCAGATTCATAAAAAGAGTTGTATAATATCAGGCTATCCATAGAAGCCATTTTTTTTTTTTTTTTGAGACAGAGTCTCACCTTATTGCCCTAGATAGAGTGTCGTGGCGTCACAGCTCATAGCAATCTCAGATTCTTGGGTTTAAATTATTCTCTTGCCTAAGACTCCCAAGTAGCTGGGACTACAGGCACCTGCCACAATATCCAGCTATGTTTTTTTAGAGGTGGGGTCTTACTCTTGCTCAGGCTGGTCTTAAACCTGTGAGTTCGAACAATCCCCCACCTCAGACTCCCAGAGTGCTGGGATTACAGCACTGCACCCAGCCAGAAGCCATGTTTTAAATAATACAGAAAAAAATAGAAAGAAATATCCAACCATCAGTGAATAATTAAATGATGGTACAGCTTCACATTAGACTACTGTGTAGTAGCTAAATAAGATTGAGAAAGGGCTCATTCACATGTAATATGTTGTCCACAATATTTCTTTTAAAAAGCATTAAATGAAATCCCATTATTATTTAAAAAATGTTATTGGTATATGCATATGTGTGAGTGGGTATGTATATTTTATACATACAGAAAACAATTTGGAAGGATCATACATTGTTTATAGTTGCCACCTCTGATACATGAGATTAGAGAGGGAAAAAAGATAAAATTTATTACATTTTTCTCTATTATTTTTGCTAAAACAAGCACATATCTAATTTTTAAGAAGAAAATAAAAATGTTTATTAAACAGTTAATCCTAGCCACTTAGGTCCAAAGAGAAACTTGAGTTGTAGAACTTACCTTTTCAAGGGACTCCTTCTCAGTTCGAAGGTCAGTCAGTTCCTCCTCCAGGGATGTCACCTTGAGTTCCAGTTGTCTTCGGCTCTGCTTTTCACTTTTGAATTTGGATTGTGTTTGCTCAGAGGTTTCTTGGAGCTCTGGGATACAGGAGCAGATACACTTGGCTGCAGAACCATAGCTGCAGAGGGCTGCATTTCCCAGCAGTGATTTCACAGCTGCCTACTTCTGTCTCCCAATCCTACCACATAAGTAGCCGTTGCTTACTATTTCAGCATCACCTTACTAATCAGCAATAAGGTTTATCAAGTCATAAGCTGACTTCCCCACCTACCCATATTTACCCTGTAGAAAGTCATCTCTACACATATAAAATGTATAAGAAATGTTCTAAGTAGTTGGAGATCACCTTTGAAACAGATCCAGGCCCTTTCTCATTACCTAGGTAAGATAATTTTAACTTTCTTGGTAGCTGGGACATTCTACCAAGAGTTTGCTTTTGAAACATCCCTTCTTACATAAAGCTATTTAAATTTTTCTCAATGCACCAAAATTTATTTGTTTGGAAAACTTTGACTCTTATGTCTCTCATGTCTCTCTTTTTTTTTTGGAGACAGCGTCTTACTTTGTAACCCTCAGTAGAGTGCCATGGCATCACAGCTCACAGCAACCACAAACTCTTGGGTTCAAGCAATCCTCTCTGCCTCAGCCTCCCTTGTAGTTGGGACTACAAGCACCTGCCAGACTCTTATGCAGTTGTTCTCTACCTTCCTAATGCCACGACCCTTTAATACAGTTCCTCATGTTGCATTGACCCCCAACCATCAGCAACGAAAATAATTTTATGGTTGGGGGTCACCACAACATGAAGAACTGTACTAAAGGGTCGCGGCATTAGGAAGGTAGAGAACCACTGCTCTTATGGTTCTTAAGGTAATTGTCATAGGGCATGAAAAAATCAGAAATGAGGTATCTGTACAAAATTTAAATCTAAAATTGTCTAACATGTGTTCGTGTCATAAGGGCCTAAGTGATGCGCTACAAGGTAGCACTTTACCATCTGCTGTCACTGTTTTTTAGGTACTAGACAAATGAACTTTTTGCTGCTGCCCAACTCTGCTGTTGCTTCAGCTACCCTGCTGCCTGCTATGCCTTCTACATTTGTGTCTATACGCCAGTGCAGATGAATCAACCTTCTGCTCTTCACAAATCTTCTATCCAATCACCATGTCTTAAGCATTATCTCTGTGCCAGGCAACAAACTAACACTAATATGGAGGAAAGGACTTTATAGAAAAGAACAAAATACCAAATACCATCCTTGTCCTCAATGGGCTTGCAATCCATAGGAGAAGAGACATAAATGGTGCTTATCAAAATCTAACTGTGATATGGTCAGACACATAATAATGCACTAAGTGATAAAGTTTTTGTTGTTGTTGTTGTTGTTTGAGATAGAGTCTCACTTTGTTGCCCTTGGTAGAGTGCCATGGCATCACAGCTCACAACCTCAAACTCTTGGGCTCAAGCAATCCTCCTGCCTCAGTTTTTCATTTTTAGTAGAGATGGGGTCTCACTCTTTCTCAGGCTGGTCTCAAACTTGTGAGCTCAAGCAATCCACCTGCCTTGGCCTCCCAAAGTGCAAGGATTACAGGAGTGAGCCACTTTACCTGGCCAGTGATAAATGTTTTTTAAAAGGGAACAAATATGGGCGGCACCTGTGGCTCAGTGGATAGGGCGCAAGCCCCATATACCAAGTGTTGCAGGTTCAAACCCAGCTCCGGCCAGCTAAAACAGCAGTGGTAACTGCAACAAAAAATAGCCAGGCATTGTGGCAGGTGCCTGTAGTCCCAACTACTCAGGAGGCTGAGGCAAGAGAATCGCTTAAGCACAAGAGTTGGAGGTTGCTGTGAGCTGTGGTGCCACAGACTCTACCAAGGACGACAGAGTGAAATTCTGTCTCAAAAAAAAAGGGGAGGGGGTGCAAAATATCCTAGAAAAATAACTGAGAAAGCCTCTAAAAGAGGCAGATTTTGGAGAAGACTGAGGGCAGATACTGGTGATGATGGACATGCTAAGTCCAGAGAATAGCATGGATAAAAGCAAGACAAGAACTACAGAATATGCTGAAGAGTGGCCAGGAGGCTTGCTGGTGTGGCCAGAGCCAGGATGAATTGGGCAGTTCATGGGAGCTAAGCCAAGCTGGAGGGGCCTCTGACTGCCAAGCTGAAGAGGTACAATCCATCTTCTGGGAAAGAGGAAACCACAAGAGGAAGCACCGCTTTCTTAAACTTCCAGTGATTCATGAGTCCAAACAACAGTCCAGGCATTTGGCACCAATCCTAAGTACCAAAGATATTGAAGGCAACACTTCCCCAAACAAAAGGGAAGAGGTGACAACCAATCCGTTCCATATGAATAGTCAGTTCATTGGTTCTTTATGTATAACAATCTAGCAGTTTTATCCTGGTCCATTTCCATTTTTGGTCAGTCCTTCACAAACTTCATAAGCATTGTGCCAAAAAGATTGAGAGGCCAGTGATAAATGTTTTTTAAAAGGGAAAAAATATGGGCGGCACCTGTGCCTTAAATTTAAATGGCAACAATCCCAGCAGGCCACACTGAGTACGTACCTAAGAGTTCTGCCTGCAGTTTGGTGAGTTGGCCCCTGACAAGGTCTGTCTCCTTCAAGCTTTCTGTCAGCTGCACTTGCAGCTCTGTTTCCTTCTTTTGGTGAGCAGTTATCTTCAGCTGCAGATGAGAGACCTGTGCAGTGGCTGCTGCTAATTCCTCAGTCACCTTGGCCTGAATAGTAACAAAGTATGACGTTACTTTAAACACAGATGTTCTTTGTCTCTAAGTGATGACCCTACCTTGCATAACTCTATGCTGACTGAACTGGTAGACAGGAAGAGAGTTAAGGCTACCTTTAGCCTGCATTAAACCAAAATCAAGACTTAAAAATGTATGGTCTCTGACTCCAAGAATTCAATCGCAGAAATCTGTCCTATGGCTCAGTGAGTAGGGTGCCGGCCCCATATACCGAGGGTGGTGGGTTCAAACCCGGCCCTGGGCAAACTGCAACAAAAAAATAGCCAGGTGTTGTGGTGAGCACCTGTAGTCCCAGCTACTCGGGAGGCTGAGGCAAGAGAATCACCTAAGTAGTACTGTACTAGTAATACTGCAATATTGTAAAGACCAGTCACATGGAGGTTGCTGTGAGCTGTGTGATGCTGCCATGGCACTCTACCAAGGGCAATAAAGTAAGACTCTGTCTCTTAAAAAAAAAACAGAAAGAAAAGAAAAGAAAAGAGTATACAAGATTACAAAAATTTAGTTACAAGGATGTTCGGTGTAGTATTGTTTACAGTGGTAAGAGCATGAAAAACTAAAATAAAATGCGGAGAATGGGCTTAATTAAGCAAATTATGACACATCTATTCTGAATGCAGCTATTAAAATGGTGTTGTAAAAGAACACTTACTGTTGAATGAAGAACACAAGTAGATCAAATAATATGTTTGATATATTTTTATAAAATGGAACATTTATTTATATAAAAAAGAGAGCCTGAATGATGTGTATTTTTTGGCAGTAATCTAAATAGAATTATGGGTCCTTTATGTTTTCTTTTTTCTTATCAGATTATATATTTTTTTGCTTTATAGATTTTCTTTTGAAAAGATGTTTCCTATGCTCAAAAATTATAAAGATAGAGAAAAGTAAACAATGATGTCTTGCTACCATACCTATCCCCCTTAATATCTTCCCCCTTGCCCTGCACAGGTAATTATAAAATAACTATTCATTTTTCCAGTTGTAGAAAGTGATTCTTTATTCAAATACTAGTATGATTCTTATCCCCCCTTTTCACACACAAAAGGTGGCAAACACTCTCTATTAGTGTATCTAGCTCTTCCTCCGCCCTTTTTTAAGTAACTGCATGGTATCCCACCATGTGAATGTACTGTAGTTTGTTCTTTACTGCTGCAGGACACTTAGATTGTCTCCAGCATTTCTCATTAACAACAAGACACCAGTGAGTGACCCTGGACACGTAATGCTTTGAGTGCAGGTGTCCTGTAGCAGTAGGAGATTCCCAGAAGCAGAATTACTAGGCCAAAGAGTAAGTACTTCTGTAATTTTGCATAACATCATTGGTTCCCCTTCATGAACCATGCCACAGACCTACCAATCTCACCAACATCTGCCAAAAATTGGGATTTCTAACAATCTGATAAATAAGAAAATAGTATTCTTGACATTTTCTAACTTTTCTTTGATGAAAATGTCTTTTTTTCTATTAATAAAAGGATATTTTAAAATTTAAACTGGATGCCTCCAAGGGTAATCCACTTCAGAGTCTCCGATCTCTCCTAGTAGTACTATACTACTGATACTGCGATGTTGTAAAGACCAGTCACATGGGAGTTACTGCTTTGGGTGACCTTAGAAGAACAGAGCTAATCAAAGAAAGGAAATGCTTCCTTGACTGCTCAATGTAGTTTGAATGGTGCTCTGCACTAGCCAAACCAGGGCTCAACTTCAGTCTAAAGGATCTAAATATTCTCAAGCAACATCTGATAAAACTGAAATGACTACCCTGGGAAACCCTCTAATGATATTCTGTGTACTAAGGGTGACGATGACAATTAAGACTAGTCACTTAAAAAAAGACAGTAAGGCTCGGCGCCTGTGGCTCAAGCGGCTAAGGCGCCAGCCACATACACCTAAGGTGGTGGGTTCGAATCCCCAGCCTGGGCCCGCCAAACAACAATGATGGCTGCAACCAAAAAAAAAAATGGCCAGGCGTTGTGGCGGGCGCCTGTAGTCCCAGCTACTGGGGAGGCTGAGGCAGGAGACTCGCTTGAGCCCAGGAGTTGGAGGTTGCTGTTGAGCGTGATGCCATGGCACTTTACCCAGGGGGATAGCTTGAGGCTCCGTCTCAAAAAAAAAAGAAAAAAGACAGTAAGTGGTTGCTCTGCAGGCAACCAGTCTTAATTTTCGAAATCTATATATTTCTGGGGATGGACTATCTATCTCTCCTATACTCTACTGCTACTAGCATTAGTGTCAAAAGGATACTGCCCCTATAATTTAATATTATACACACGTTTACAGCTGTCTACTTTCTTATCATCATTTATCCCTTCCTCATTTTAAACATATTTATTCCTTGCCTTATTCCAAAGCCTTTATCAGTTTTCTAGCTTCCATTTAAAATCTGATATTTTGACTCTCGTAAAGGTAGGGGAAAGAAAGTAAAATTATATATAAAATTAAAATAAATAGGTTATGAATGAGAGTAAGCTTGGAGACACTTATTTTTTTACTATTCAGCAGCCTTATAGATTTTCACCTGTTAAACACAAACAATATCTAGAATTTCCAGATATAAGAGTGGCTTCCATCTGTTCTAAGAAGAATAAAAGTTTTACTCATTCTCCTGGTTCAATGAAAGCACTCTCCTGGCCTAATGAAAACTGAACTAAATCAGTGCTCAGAGAGCGCTGCACCTATTCATGGCTCAGAGAATTCACTACTATCAGATCAAGTACCACTCTTACAAGACCTTGCAGCAGCTATACTACTAGAAGTGATCAATCCCAAAGGAGAGACAACGGAAAGGATGGTCATTCTCTCGCCAAAAGACAAGCCAAGTAGAAAGTCAGCCCAAAGCTCTTTTTATCTCAGGTCCTTAGTTACAAAGGTCTATTAGAAGCATAAAAACTGCTAGCCAGGAGCAGTGGCTCATGCCTATAATCCCAACTACTTGGGAGGCTACAAAGGGAAGATCACTTGAGGATTGCTTGTGGCCAAGAGTTTGAGACCACTCTGGGCACTACAGCAAGACCCTATCTAAAAATAACTAACTAAATAATGACATTTAAAAATAAATAAATAGGCT